ATAAAATTTAAGAAATCACTTATTGGTTTGCTATGTTTCATGACAACTAAATGCCCATAGTTTACCTTAGTTACTGTTCTGTTAGCAGGTACAGGGCTTATATCAAATCGGAGATTACTAGGCAAGGGCAGCCCAAAACTCCATCCACCATATCTAAATGTGGTAGGGGGGAAAAACATGTTAGAAATAAAGTTTTCATGTTTTAAACATCTTAAATTTCACATGGAAATTATATCTTAAATTCCATTGGAAGGTATATAAAACATAAAGTGTACATCACTTCTTTTTTTTTAAAAAAAATATTGTTTTTTATATACAGCAAATCCATTCCATTTCAATCGTGTGTCGATTAGATACATATTTCAATTATTTGACCATTATAAATGATGTTTTTCTTATCAAATCTAACAATACAATAATCACATCCCCAAATATATAATAGTATCGCATGTGTCTATTATATTAATTTATCTAATTACTCTCTAAATACATCAAATCTCTTTTAATTTGTTTTGTTCTCTATCCATTGATAGAACAGATTCTATACCAAGTAATATTCAGTTTCTTCTTTTTCTTTAATTTCTAGTGTCAATCTATTCATTTATGCACATTTAAATGTTTTTTCAATTACTTTCCTTTTTGTCACTCTTCCAATTTTGGGCAAATACAATTGTAGCTGCTGTTAAAACATGTATAATTAAATAAATAAATATTTTCTTTACTATAGCCTTCTGGTACCATTCCTAATAGGAATATTTCAGGTTTCAAATCTATATGTTGTTTAATCATTTTTTCCAACCATGTGTGTATTTTAGTCCAATATCTTTTAGCCTCTGTGCAAGCCCACCACATATGGTAATATGTTCCTGGTGTTTGATGACATTTCCAACATTTCATTGATTTATCTTTAAACATTTTCGCTAGTCTTTCTGGCACAAGTGCCATCTATAAAACATCTTATACAAATTCTCCTTATACGTGTCGATACTGTCAATTTATAATTCCTATCCCATAATTTCTGCCATTTATCCAGTTCTATAACATGTCCAAAGTTTTTTGCCCATGCAATCATCGTTTCTTTAACTTGTTCTTCTTCCAGCTTGACACCCAACAAATAACTATATAATCTTTTAATCAATTTGTCTTCTGCTCCTGTTCATATTTTATCCAATTCTGTCAACTCCTTTCTGATCCCTTCATCTTTCATATCTTTCTCATATCTTGTTTGTATCTGTATATATGAGTACCATTCTATATCTCTCTAATCCTTGTTCATTTAATTATTGTTTGGTTTTGAGCTCACCCTTTTCATTTAAAATATCTAGTAACATTCCAAAGTGTACATCATTTCTGACAGCTTGACGTATTTGGGCAATGATTGATGGCACCATCAAGTTTTCTTTCTTTAAGCAAGTTTTCTATGTTCTTGGACCATATGGGTATGCTAATCTCATACATCTCATCCCCATCCTATTCATGTCGGAGGCACTTCTGGGTTGAAAGGATTAGCCCATGATATCACCGGTGCCCGGTGGATGCCCAAAGGGGCTTCTTTCATATCCTGTCAAGGAGGCTGAGGTGAGTGATGGGAGCTCATCCCACTGCACAGCAGCACTTGGGTCTCAAACATAGGCTTGCTAAACTCCAACCCAGCATCCTAACCCTGTGAGTCACTATGCTCCTAATACGCCCCTTAAGGACTTCTTATACAGAGAAGAGAGAAGAAGAAGCTGACAAGGGAGCTGCAGACTCAGGATTCAAATAAAAAAAAACAAAAAAACCAGGCAATTCCCAGGTCCTACGAAAATAAGGTTCTTTTCCACATACTGAAAGAGCTACCAGGAACTGTATAATCTCAAGAGTTTAATTAAAATTAATGTATGTTTTCATTATCATCTTTCAAGATTTATGGACTAAAATTTAAAAAAAGAAGAAAAGCAAAATAATTTTAGAATCCTAATTTGTTAGTGGTGCCTCCTGACTTTTTAAAATCAAAATTAAAGATTATAGCCACAAACATAATCTAAGCAATCTAAATCCCCCTTTTTTTTCAGTGAATTGGTGACTAAGAAATTATGAAAAAGTCCCACCATATGTAGGGCCTGCTATCCCATCCTCTCCCTGAACTGGTACCGGAGAGATGGTGATAACCAGAGGCATCAGGAGAGGTGGTGGTGATCTCAATGGGACCACAATGAAATTAGTGTTACATTGTTGCCACACAAGTTCTGCCCTTCTGTAGAGTCATCATGATATTGTGTGTGTGTGTGTGTGTGTATGTGTGTGTCTATCAGGATTTACATATCAATGGTACAATGCTGCTTTGGCAATAACACTTTCAGTAGAGGCTTTCTGTTAAAGTTAAACAGAGCAAGCAAGGGACAGCAATAAGATAAATGGAATACCTCTTTTGAACAAAATCTCTGGCAGTAACTAGAAGGTAAGTTTCTACATCATGTCCAGTAAGGTTATATATTGTTCGGGAAGAGAATGTTCTCTTGTGAGGTGGTGAAAAGTTCAGCTTTGGACAAGTCTACAAAGAAAATAAATGTATGAACACGAAAGATTTTTACAACTAAAATTATTTATTTTGACAAACAATATTAATATAAAATATTATTTAGTGTCCCTATACAATATTATTTTAGCAAATAAAACTTGACGCAAATGAAACAAGGGAAAGGTTTTTAAATTAGAATTTAATAAAAAAATAAAACCATGTATACAAACTAATTTTCAGCTGGGCAGATATACTTTCTATACTGTAGGGCAGGGGTGTAAAACTCAATTTCATTCATCAGGATTGTGGTTGACTTTGGGGGGGGCTGTGGGGGGCACGGCCGTGGTAGGTGTGGCCGTGGAGAGCATGGCCAGCTCCCACTGCTACTTTCGCTCTCCTTGGCCAGATTGCTCATGTTGTGTGCAGGAGGGCAAAGCATGTAGGTCAGAGGGAGGCCCACTTCATTTTCTTATGAGGTGACGTGGCTTTGTAACCAATCCTATCATTGAAGAGGTCAGGAGAAGGGGACAAGGCAGTAGGGCTGCTTGTGGCCAAATGCTAATGCTGGATGCTCACACTCTCTCATTATAACCAGTGATGGTATTCTACCGGTTTGGGCCTGTTCTGGTAGCGCCGAAGATCAACTGGCAGAGAACCGGTTCGCTCCGAGGCTCTCCAAGTCTCTGCAGTTGGGCCCACCCTTCCACCCCTGCTCCTAGGCCGGGCTCCTTGAGCGAAGGCAGAATGCTGATGCTGCGCAAATGCAAGTAGTGTGGCACTCCCACACCTTCCAGCCATCTCCATCACTTCGGCCCACCTGTGCCACCCACCCCCCTCTTGCTGCAACAGCACCATTACCTCATCCTGGCTGGCAAGGGCTGTGCTGCTTTTTGCATGTTGTACCACCTGCAAATTTGCACATTACACGTGCCAACCTACGGTGGAGATTTTCAACATCAGCAAGCCACCGTCAGTCAAAATTCACATTAGTGGTCCGTGTGATTAAAATTGTGAGTTTGGTGATCCCCAAGGTTCAAAAGGTTGGCGACCCCCATTTTATGGATTGTTTCCTCCTTCCTAGTCCCCGTCCCCACCCCCATTCTCCTCTAACATTAAAACAGACTCTTCTTGGTTATTATTTTTTCCCTTATGGTTCTATTGTTGTGATGCTTCAGTAATAAAAAAACCAGAACAGTTTGTTCTTTTATTCATATGTTCCTCTGTAGCTCAAGGAAAAATTGTAGAAAGGAAGAACTGATAATTTGCTTCTCTGAACTTGATTGTTTTCTTACAAATATTTCATTACCCAACTAGGTAACATCATCAGTGCTAGATAATAATAATTAACATCATATTTAGTTTTGTCTCCAAGACTGGCATTGTAGTTTTCATGTTTGAGAAAGTGAAGGAAGATTCTACTGGAAGCAAGTTATAACCATAAATTACTATACCATTCATATTGTTAAGTAGTATTATTAAATAAAAATACTGTCAAATTGGCAACTTGGGAAATTAGCTTTTATAAATATAGTTGTTAAAGATATCTGTTTTTCTTAAACTTGGGGCTTAGTTTTTTTTGGGGGGGTGGGGGGGGAATCCACTTATTTAGTCTTTATTGGAACCTCCAGTCTTTTTTTTTTATTTCTATCTTATACTGACCTTATGGCATGATATTCTAATTTGAATTTACCTCTCCACTGAGTGTGCAATTGCAGGCAGTATACTGATCACTCTTATTTCCACTGAATATCCACTCTTCAGCCACGTCTTCCTTGAAACATGTTCTGAAAGTAAACAGATTTAATATTGATATTGACTATAAATTTGTATACAGCATAGTGGGAATTTCCTAGCTAATGCAGAACACTAGGCAGGAATACCTCATTATTTATTAATTTCCTAAAGCTTTTCCAATGGAAGCTAAATTTGATCAGCTTTGCTTAGTTCTTACTGGTTTAACTATTCTTCTGTTCATCTATTTTTATTCAATACTAAAATTTGAGAAGGAAAGTTTTAATAAGACCATTTTAAAAACCAAAAAATATCTACAGTAACATGAAATAAATATATATTTTCATATATATATATGTATGGTATTCAGCTTTGTTCGGGTATTTTCCCACATCATTATAGTAGTGCTTTTAAAGTAGCAACGTTTCGGCAGAATGTCATCTGCCATCATCAGACTTCTGTATAGTGTTCGTCTGTGAGTCAGACTTTTACAGTTGTAAAACTCACAGACTCACAGACGAACACAATACAG